TAAGATGCCAAATGACTTCACTCAGAATATCAGTTTCTACCTTCTGACCACCAAATGCACATGCCAAAGCTGAAATGATAGTCGTTAAATGGTTATCTGTTTGACACATATTAACAGTTCGCTGTATACGATCAGATCATGGCATTATCCCTTTGATAAACTGTTACTGTAGCAGCGAGTGAGTGAGTGAGTATGGGTTTACGCCGCTTTTAGCAATATTCCAGCAATATCACGGCCGGGAACACCAGAAATGGGCGTCACACTACTGAAACAGAGTAATATAGTATACATACTTATAATGATACCAAGGAAATGTCCAGTCTTCTACATCTTTTATCTATTGTTATATCAGAAAGTGTCCTATGTCCATATGCGTATGTTTTGAAGTCAGACATTCTGTTTTTCATAGTCATCTGTGTAATAGGAATTACCCTTTGGATAATAAATCCTGGTCTTATTCTTGCCCGGTTTTAAAATCCGTTTTCATTACTTCACGTAGACATTGTAGAGTAATATTTGATTGCTTGTTTGTTGTTTAACGCCGCAACCAGCAATATGCAAGGTATATTGCGGCAGCCTCTAAAATAATCGAGTCCAGATCAGAGAATCCAGTGATCAAGAGCATGAGCATCGATATACGCAATTGGGATACGATGACATGTGTGTACCAAGTCAGCGAGCATGACCACCGATCACGTTTGTCGCCTCTTACGACAAGTATGGAATATCAGCAGTAATATCATTCATATTTTAACCAACATTTAACAAATTAAGGGATAGTCATAGTATTTTGTTGTGTTCCTTGTGATATTTGTGAAAGTTAAAAATATATTAACTGTTAATACATTGAAAAAAACATCGCTTGATGGACATTATGACCTTTTAGTATAGGCGTAGGGTATTACCTGTCCATTATCTGCAAGAGCATATGAATAAATAAGGAGCAGGCTTATTTGGCCCTTTTTTCAGTCCTCTAAACGGGCGGTAGGATAGCCTAGTGGTTGACGCGTTCTCGAAATCCCGGGTTCGATTCTACACATGGTTACAATGCGTGGAGAACATTTTTGGTGTCACGCATTGCCTAAAGCGGAGTCAACTCATTCACAGTCAGGTAGTGGACAAAACAAGAATGTTCCTTCAGTGATTGAACCACGGTAACACACCCTATCGTAAAGAATGACGGTTCATATTATGTTCAGCTTCATATCAATGGAGAAGATTTGTCTCCAGTTTCTAATCTCGCTTTGTGCATTCAGGCGCTGTGATACATCGCTTACATGATCTTATTAATTGCCTATATCTGATAGTGAAATAATACTTAGAGATTCATGTTGCACAATTGTCAGAGATAACCTGCTATCATAGTGTGTGTGTGCGTGTGAGTGTGCGTGCGTGCGGGAGACGAGACGGGACGAGGGAAAACAGATCTTGTTGGTGAAGTATTGACAAATGCTGAAACTGATAGTTCTGGAACAATGGAATTATGTTTCACAGGAAACACGATCTAAAAATATTATAAATAACATCAGGCACATATTGCGTCAGATTCAACAGTATCACATTACATCAATGCCAATCAATATGGCATCCCTACTGTTCGTAATACTGAAAATCATTGGCAAGGTGCCCAATCCAAAGTGCTTATACAGCTCTAATGTTATTATCAATCAACACATTAGATCTGATAATGAAGACTGATGGAAGACCCTTGCTATTTATATCAATTACATGTTTTGGTGATTCATGCCTTTGACCAGTAAAACTGTTCTCTTTTCTTTGAAAAAACGCAATATGATAAGAATGATTAAATGTCAGTGGTTCCAGACACTGTATTTTATATTGTCAGTTCAATGCTCTCTCCTTTCGGGTCATCAAATTTTACAATGATGCACTGGAGTCGGTTGGTGAATCATGGCGAATTAAAGGAAACCACTGTCTACCACAATACATCAGACTGACGGTGGATTGCTGTGAAACGGTTTGTCGAGGTGCTATACACGGAACACCATTAGGAATCGTTTACCCTGAAATTAGTGTCACAAATGTGTAGTCATCGATGTATTGATTGGGAAATAGGGTCCATGTTTAAAGACTGAATAGTAGGGGTTACCAGACTGGAATCATCTTGATGCCAACAAATAGATAAATCTTGCTTTCGTTAATCAGAGTGATCTATGTATTGATTAACAAAATCATATTTAAAGATTAAAGAGTATGGTTGACCATTCTGGACGCTTCTTCATGTAAACAAAAACATAATTCTTGTTGATTATAGTGATCTATGTATTGATTAACAAAATCATATTTAAAGATTAAAGAGTATGGTTGACCATTCTGGACGCTTCTTCATGTAAACAAAAACATAATTCTTGTTGATTATAGTGATCTATGTATTGATTAACAAATCATGTTTAAAGGTTAATCAGTATGGTTCACCATTCTGGATGCTTCTTGAGGGCAACAAAATGATCAATCTTGTTTTCGTTGATTAAACAACTTCTTACAGTCTCATGAATCTGTAAATTCATGTTGCGATTGTTTAAAACACGAAAATATGTTTTATAAAAGTGCAGTAAGATTTTGACAGCATGATTAGTCGTAGCACCTGCCTGAAAGGAAGATATCGTGATTTTACTCTACGTTGTGTCATGGCTAAAATGTCTTATACTTCTTTGAATCTACTGGCTGATTGGATTTTCAGGAAAAGATGGATTGTTCATATAAACTGCTCCGAGCGTGTTTAGATGTTTGGATGAAGATGGTTTACTGGTGATGTTGTATATCAGCATATATGTCTTTACATTGTATGACACAAAACTAGTGTCAAAATGTAACTGTTTATAACCATCTACTCATAAACAACGCAACGCATCAATACAAGCGATCACCACGTACATGATCCGGGTTAGATTGGATTTTCAGCAACCCATGCCTGTTGCTTGAGGTGACTAAACACTACACCGTCGTTTTGTTCCATTGACATAGTGCTGTATGGGCATAGGGCAAAAAACTCTGGAAAATCAGTTAAACTTGATTAAAGCTTCGAGTTTTTCAAGCGTAAAATGGACGGGAAATTGTGTCTTTTGATCCACCTCGTACAATTAAAATGGGCTCGGATGGTCAGGCTCGATGACATAGTCGACACATGTCATCATATCCCAATTGCGTAGATCGATACTGATGACATCAGTCATTGGATTGTTATATCACAAGAATATTGGCCGCTGTTATATTAGTTTGGTTCGTACATTTATCTCGGTTACTCATTGAGTACACCGATACTCATTAAGTCAAACACTGGATTGTCTGATGGAGAATCGATTATTTACAGACCATCGTCATAATGGCTGGAACATTGCTAAGTGCTGCGATAAACAACATGCAAGTAGCTCACCCGTGCACCAGGAAGATTTCTTGTTGCAGAGAGACTGTTTAAAACTACTGCCTCCTTGAGGTAACGACCCTGTTGCTCTGACGGGAACAAGTTATATCAGGAAAGGCTTGTGTTAAGAAATATCAACCATTCTGAGCTGTCAGGAAAAAGAAGGTCCTCTTTACACATCGTAAAGAGGTAGCCTCACAGTTGATGCGTTCGCTCGTCACACCAAAGGCCCGGGTTCGATTCATGGATACAATGTGTGTAACTCATTCATGGTGCCCCGGAATCATGCTGAATATGACCCGTGAAGATCCGGGTTAGAACTGGTCTTCAGCAGCCCATGCTTGTCGTAAGAGGCAACTGACGAGATCGGGTGGTCAGGCTCGCTGACTTTGTTGACACATGCCATCGTATCCCAATTGCGTAGATCGATGCTCATGCTGTTGATCACTGGATTGTCACGTCCAGACTCGATTATTTACAGACCGTCGACATACAGCTGGAATACTGCTGACAACAACACCTCAACCAATCATACTGAATATTGTTTCGGTTTAAACACCCCAAAAGGTAAAACTGGAGCAATGTCACAAGCTCATCACAGCAGGAGTGAATGAGTATAGTTTTTACGTGACTTTAGCAATATTCCAACAATAACATGGCGGGCGGACACCAAAAATGGGCTTCACACATTGTACCTATGTGGGGACTCGAACACGGATCTTCGGCGTGACGAGCGAACGCTTTAACCACAAGGCTAAGCCACGGTCATATGGCATGTAATACTTTCTGCACCAATTACCACGACCAACTTGTTAGCTTTAAGAATAGCCTGATTTAATATACCCTGTGAGACTAACCCGATTGTTTTCTGCACGTGTTCCATTTTCCACCGTGCTTAAAGTACACACTGAACAACTGATTGTCGCGAACATATCATTACCTGCAAAGTGATCTAACCAAATGACCAAAGCCATCGAAAAATCCAAACGTGATTCCCCATCAGTCACCAGCAAGAATGATTACGTTGATATATTTATTTTTTTAAAACCTCAAAACCATGAGGGTTTTTTTTGCTGAATGTGTAACTTAATTTTATACAACTTTAAAATCCAGGTCATTTGGTTACAGCAGATCGAGTCACAATGCTTTGGAAACACTTGCTTGATAAACATAGACAATAAAAGAAAAACTGCCTGAACTTTTAAGAGTACTTCAGAACAAAAAGTATATGTTTATCACATCAAGGATTCTATTTCAATAGCGGCAGGAAAACTGAGATAATAAACTTTTTACTATTTTATGTCGGAATGAAAACTCAAAGCAGGCGGGAGATGGGCAAACTAAAAAAAACCAGACGACCTAATCGAACATATTAGTTAAAACATGATACCAGTCTGAAATGATGTCGATGGTCGACTATTGTGAATTTTATCATCACGAAAAAAACCATTGTCTAGTCGTAATTCTGGTGATCAATTATAGCTCTTCTAACTCAAGAAGTTAATCGAAGTAAGATTAATAATACCACAATAGTCATTTACGTGCCAGTTTCCAATTTGAAAGAATAGTTCAACTAAAAATCCGAACTATAAAAAAACTCAGCGTAGAACTATCAAACTATACTGAGTCAAAAAAGAAACTTTACAAAATGTAATTTGAAAAATAATGAATAATTTGCCTCTGATGATGCATCTATGAATCCGAAATGGGATCCCTATCTCTCGACTCTAGAAAAACGTTAGCAAAACCCACTCAAACCCATCCATTCGTCGTGCAAATGACGTTAGTGTCAAATCAGGTTTTGCACGTGCAGTCGATCACGTGATCTTTGATTCGAAGTTTTCTTCATATGCACGTGTTTGCATTGGCCTCAAGAATTGAAAAAAACACTTTTAAACCACAGTTTAACGGTACTTGAAATGCCACGATTGTCAAATGTGCAACGTGAACGTGCCGTTGGCATGTTGCAAGCGGGAAGATCAGTTATTGACGTCGCAAGAGCAATGGGATGCAGCCGTCGTACTGTGTATGACTTGCGAGGTCGTCTACAACAAACTGGCACCACTTCTGATCGCCCAAGGTCGGGTCGTCCACGTGTGACGTCACGAGCAGAAGACCGTCAAATCGTCCTACGTCACCTACGAGACAGATTTCTGCCGGCTACACGAACCAGGGCTGAGATGTTTAGAGGTCGACTGTCCTCACAGACCATTCGAAATCGGTTGCGGGCTGCCAATCTCCATTATCGACGTCCATATCGTGGGCCAATATTGACGCCATTTCATCAACGTCAACGTCTGCTGTGGGTCCAACGTCACCTCCGATGAACCCAGAGAGACTGGAATCGAGTCGTGTTTAGCGATGAATCCAGGTTTACCCTCAGATTCGCGGACGACAGGCATACACTCTGGAGACGACGTCGTGAACGGTATGCCCAATGTTGTGTACAGGAAGGCGACAGATTCGGGGGCGGAAGTTGCATGGTGTGGGGTGCTTTCTGTGGGAACAACCGTTCCCGACTTCTGGTCATCCGTGGAAACCTCACAGCTGCTGCTTACCGCGACCAGGTGCTCACCCCTGAACTCGTTCCTTTCATGGCGGCTCATGGCCCAGGTCTACAGTTCGTAGTTGTGGTAATACCAGTTATGTCAGTGATCGTGCTAGACACCATCAGTAGCAAAGCTTCATAAACAGGTTGAAAGAATCATCTATCTCCGCTGGTCTGGGTGCAGTGTGTGATGACAGTGGTGAGCTCGCCCCTTTATGTGGAGTATACCCACATCACCCACAATCTATTCATTAATTCTATCACCAAGTTTTATCATTCTTTTACTCCGACATGGTTGCTAAACCGGTGTCTGCACAGGACGTCGACCTTTGGGTGACATGTCACAGTTCAGGTAAGAGAAAAGGTCGACGTCCTGTCCATTTGACATTATATCAATCAACAGGGGATTAAAAAAGACAGAGATAATCCAGTGTTTACATAAGGTTATAATCCGGATTATGCGGTTGAAAGCAGACAACAGGAGAAAAGTATTATATTTCGTCCATTTTATTTCTGATTCGAAATCATCCCACATGAAGCAGGTGAGATGCAGCATCTGCAAAATCTTTGGTGTTGATGAGGCCATTCCTAAGATCATGTTTTAGGACGTCCAGGCGACGTTCCAAATCCCTGTACTTCTTTTTCTTCAAGGGACGTTTTTGTCCACCGCCGAACTGCAACAGGCGGACTTCAGTGTGAGTCTGCTCCTTTGCAAGAAACTTGATCATTTCAAAGATATTGGGGTGCGCCTTCCCCACCAATCTCTTGAGACGAGTGTGCCACCCTTCTAAATGGTTGTTGGTGCGGGTTTCCTTCACCTGTGAGCAAATATCAAATGTTAATAATGCAAAACATGGTTCGGATCAGATATATTTATTTTACATTTATATTTTCTTTGTAACATATTGATATTAGGCATTGAGAAAATGCTTACCTTCATGTCTACTTCGACATTGGGATGTGTGACTATGGACACCTTTCACCTTCCTCACTATGTCATTGACGGTTGTCGCAGTGGAGTTACAGTTCTTTTCTGTGCACTTCCAAGATATCCAATCTCTCTTCCTCTTATTCACACGGTACATAAAGCCACCAACACACAGGTATCTGCCACCACGAGATGTAGGAAGAAATCGCTGATTCAACTGAGCATTTGCCATTTCGAAACTGAATGTAAACTACCTCACGTTCTTTCCTTATATATATCCAAATTGAATGAAATGTGTTCATCATTGTAAAAATCACTCTCATATGATAACATTGATGACATTTTGTGTGAACTACGTGGGTGAACTATGTTCACGCCTTTTGCACGCCCAAGTTATCGACAATCTTCAAACAACACCCACTGGCGGATTAGCGTGACTCTAACAACACCTTCGACATCAAAGTTAGCCGCAGGTCGACTTCGTGTCCATAGCGAAATTTCAAAAGGTCGACTTCGTGTCCATAAACCGCTAAACCCCCTCTGATCACAATATATGGACTCTCCCATACCCACTTCACCTAATCCTGAGTAATCAACCAGGCATGACATACCCACATCACCTAATTAATTTTCCGTACCTAACGGGTTAACATTAGGTGAAGTGGGAGGACACCCATAATGTAGGGCTTGTTCCCATTGCGCCTACAACCCACTTCGCCTAGAAACGTCCAGAAACTGCAGCACTGTCTTTCTTCCAGTTGCTAACTGGTCCTTCAAGCGAGTCAGTCTAGCGTCCAATTTCTTGTACTTGCGGGGACGTGAGCGGACTCCAGCACCATGGTCTATCTGCAAGCGAAGTCGTCGGTCAGCTGACTCAATCTTCTTGATTTCCTTGACAAATTCATAGAGGTTAGGATGGGACTTCTTCAACCTCTTCTTTAGTCCCAGATGGAAGCCTTCCAAGTGGTTGTTAGTTCTCGGGCCAATAGTTTCATGTTGGTTCCATATCTCTTTTGGAAAGCGTGCGTCGTAGTCCACCCAGTTGGCCGTGACGTAGTCATTGAATCGCTGGATGGATGGAGTGTTGGGTCCTGCATCCATTACAGCCATCGAGGCATCGTGGATTTCACCAATAGGCAGCAGGGGCAAGGCACAAACTCTGTTCACATGAGAGCGGACTGGTAGGTTCTGGTCCTTGTAATCGAGAGCCAGAACATAGTCAACAACGTGACGCCAAAGCCCCTGACAGTAATGGAAGTAGCATCCACGGGGTGACGACTCAGGGAACACTTCTGCAATGGCACAAATGACGGCAGCTTCAAAATAAGTCTGGATTACTTCTGGCCACTTTATTAAGGCTTTATTAAAACAACAAATCAACAAACAACAGTAAACATATTCTTTTGACGACACTGAGCAGGAAATGTTGGCCATCCCATTCACTGAATGAGGGGTGGATGAGTTGCCATCCTCAATTACTGTAGGCGAAATGGGATGTAGGCGAATCTTAATGACTTTAACATTGCTTGGGCAATACTCTCTTTGGAGATTCAGGTTACAACTCGACATAAAGTCTCAACTTACTCGACACCAGCCTCCACCGAACCTTACCAGAAAAAATACTTAGTACATTACCAAGTAAATTATTCAATACTAAGTTACAATATCAAGTTATGCAATAGCTTGGAAACCAGTCGGTATTGATTAAGTTATGACATTGAAAGATCTCTCAGTCGTAACCGGAATGCAGATGATATATGTCTGGTTAATCTTTGTACGTACTTTTTGTAACTGATTGTAAATAATGAACATTTATCTCAAGACGTAACGTGTGAAGATGATTAAATATGTAAATCTGAACAGATGTAATCACCGTCGCTATCATCCGTGTTCAAGTCAGGACCGACAATGGCATCATGCTGATAATCGTAATACTATCAATATCAAATGTCATTTGCGCAGAATCACTATCACACAAAATGACGGTTATGCTAAGTAAGTGTGTGTATTTACATTTTGAATTGGTCTTCAGCAACCCACGTTTGTCGTAAGAGGCGACTAACGGGATTGGGTTGTTAGGCTCGCTGACTTGGTTGACTCATGTCATCGGTTCCCAATTGCGTAGATCGATGCTCATGCTGTTGATCATTTGAATGTCTGGTACAGACTCAATCATTCACAGACCGCCGCCATATAGCTGGAATTAAAAAACAAACAAAGAATAACATGCGATTTGTCCAGAGACGGCCTGACCACCGGATCTCCAATTTTGCCTGAAATTACGACAAACGGAAGTGCTAAGTTTCTATTCATTGAATGTGGCGACGCGTGGGCTGGTAAAAATTTGATCAAGTATTGTATGTCCAGATTGGACAGCTCTAATAAATCTGATTGCCGCGTAAACAAAACTCACTCAATCTCCACGGGCTCCCAGGGGGTCGGCTGTTGGAAATTAACCCATATTGAAACATGAAATCCTTTAGATTGATTGTTGGTTTACGTTGCTAAGCTATTAGATTTGTTGGTTTAGCCGAAATGTTGAAGTATTTGATGAAGCGTTTGAAATATTATTTTAGAGTCTTTGAGGTTAGAATTTGAAAGATGGACACAACAAGGGTAGGACAGGATTTACTGATCTCGTTCGTGCGGATAAACGAAATTGTCAGAGCTGAGAGTGACAACTAGCTACACCCACTCGGGACTGTAATGGATGTGTCAATTAAAGGTTGTGTGGACGGTATTCAAACCTCTACTGATTGATGTGCTGTGACAATAGATATTTCACGCCGCACTACACAGGAATCTCTGCTAAAAGCAGCAGAGTCCATTGTCGTACTTCCACACTCTTATAAGCAGAGTGTGTACATATTTATGTATTTATGAACCACCATTAAACATGACAACAAGGTTCGCGATAAGGCTGACACATATTGGCATTCAACACATGCGCCGGCAGACACAAACATATGTACAGACATGTGAACTAGTCACCTAGGGGACACCTCACTGTGCCTGCACCTATTGTTCGAGGTAGAGGTTCAGTCGGTCGTGGTAGATAGGTTAACAATAGGGGGATTAACTATAGTTTTTTGCAGTAAGGTAGACCTCAACTCCTGAAATACTCTATTCACATAATTTATTCATGTACATGCATATAATAACATCCATAACATAAAATATTTGTTTCATTTGACATTATATCCATTTAGAGAATGTAATTCTCTGTTCACATAATTTACTCATATACATGCCTATAAGAACATACACATTTACATTTAAACCCCAACCAAATGCGACA